CAGGGGAATATTTGTATTGTATAATTATAAGTGTATAGGACGAAGATATATGTATTTGCATGTGTATATACAATTTTCTCTCGCTTTATACAAACACAAACGCACTTTATACACTTGCGTTTGTATAAAAAATGAGAGGCGAGGGAGAGAACGAGAGTGGCGAGCGAGATTAACCAGGAGAGAGGTGAAATAACAACAGTTTGCTATGAGGTACAATTAAATCAAACTATATTTATAGCATTTAATTTGAATTAGTAGTTTGCTATTATATACAATTTTCCTTTCCAAAATCAACCAGCCATATGTAAACTTAAGATTAAATTACCTATATACACACCTTTATTTTACATAATTTCTATTATTCCCTACCATTTTAAAATATTTCCAAAATCCCTCTTTTTCCTTTTAAACCCCATTGTTCCCGGATACATAAAGTTGTACACGTTTCTCTTCCCATTTTTACTCCTTATTTCACTCCTCAATCTCTTCCTATTTTTACTCACTCAATCTCTTCCTATTTTTCACTCCCTCAATCTTTACTCCTTCATTTTTAATTTTTCAGATTTGTTCTCTCTCCTTTCAGTAAGATCGCTCCACAATTTTTTCCGAAGAACCCAAGTAAGTCTTTGCTCCACATTTTTCCCCAAAGAACTACCAGATTTCCTCCCTTTCCACCTTCACAAAATGCATAAGGGAAAGGTGAAAGAGATGATGTATCCACATTGCTCCTTGCAAACAATTCGTTTCCAGGGGATCCTCTTTTGCTGGTGAAACTACATTATGAAATGGAAAGAAGTAGTCTCTACCAAATGTGTCATTTTATTATGATCAGGTGTTGCTATGTATCTTTTACGATTATCCAAATTTAGAAGAATATGTATCCGTACACAATACCAAATTATATTCGTGATAAATTTGTGAGCGGAGAAATCGAGGAAGGACACATGCTCGAGCTTTAAATCTACTGTTGAAAAAATGCCTAAAAAAGAGGGGGGGAAGTTGGATCTACCATTACACTACTATCACTGTAAAAGATACAGATTTTCAATGTATCTCGTTTATTTTGATTCTTAATTAAATTACCCTTTGTTAGTGTTATTGATCTGATACATCACTGTCACAGTAGCCTTTATTTTATGCAATGTATCATATTCCTATTTAAGGTATTGATATATAACCCTAATGTTATTGAATATTCGATTAGTTTAATCATATTCAGTATAAATGTTGTTGATACATAAACACTACATAATGTATCATTTTACATGTATCAAGTTCTTTAATGTATCATCAATCTTATTCAAATTTGAATGGCTATATAGACAACAATAAATCAGTTGTGTGTTATGTATCTGCACTCTTTAATATTTGTTCAGTCTTACCCAACTTAGAATGCAATGTATATGTACATATTACCCAATAATAATCTTTAGATTTATAAATCGTAATGTTCTATAACTGGAGCACTGTGTATCAGATCCAACAATAGGTATATGATACATATTCATTATTTGAAAAACAATCTTATTTATCGTATAATCTGCACATATATAACTAATTATGTACTTCAAACTAAAATTTGATTAAGACTAAAAAAGAAATACAAAGAAATGTAAAGAAACGAATAACCAAGACATAATTGCTTAGAAACCTCTTGTTTAAAAACAATGATGAGCTAGATTATAATGATAGTCAACATATCTATTTTTATGTGAATTGGGAGTTGTTAATTCTTTGTATAAATAATATATTATAATAAAAGAATACAAATTGCCAATTTTATGATAAAGAGAATTTAATATTATTTTAAAATTTAGCTAATGGTTCCATATATAAATAACGCCTTCATTTGATATTAAGGTGCCTTTTTTGTTTCGAAATTTTTCTCTCACAGTTTAAATATTTTTTTGGCGTAAAAAGAAAGTGAATATTTCCTTCCTTTTTTGTTTTATTTTTTGAAAATTTGTTTTCGCAAAAGAATTTTTAAAAATAGTAAGCGAAGTTTGGTTTGGTAAAAGTTTAAATTTTAAAACTACATGTATCTGATACTCAATAACTACCACACAACAATGTATCGATCTAAAATCAAACATTTTACGGGCAATCTTTACTTCTCTAATGTATCACATAGGATTACAGTACTTAGCAATTTACTAAATAGTTTAGTAATATAATGCATCATGAATAATATATTCTTCTTGTCCACAATGTATCTCGTCTAGTTGAAATCTACCACAATTACATATTTTTCACTTATGGCAAACCATGTATCTTCTTCCAGCATCAAACTAACACATAACGACACAATTTTGTAACCATCTTATAACATGTACCAGGTACATTACAATAACCAATGATACAATCATTTACAAAAATACCAAGATTGATATATATATATATATATATATTAATGTATCATCCACAAATTTTCTTGATTAAAACAAGTAATTTACATATCTTGATTGTTACACTATTTATATGTACAATCTACACAATAATAGTCTGATACATTTATACAAATTAGTGATACACACTCGATATTCAAAACGTATTTGATTCATCTCAATTGTTAATCATTTATTACATGTATCATATACAATATATTATGTTGATACATTTTTATACAAATCACATCCAGCTACAAAATAATGACCACATCATAATCTATAGATACAAAATTACTATACACATGCGTCGTTTACCACTAATGTATCATGACTTACATGTTCACATCAAAACGACAACATAAAACGTCTTCTTCAACCTTTTGCAACAAAGTCTTAACTTGTCCCCTCAATAAATACTCGCAAGATCCAGGAGTAACCAAGTATTTAGCTTGACAAATAATCATTTTTTGGATATTTCTGAAGATGGGGTCTCTAAATTCCCCATAGCAAGATCAACAATGGGGGAATCATTCGTTATATCAATCAATGGTGATTGTTTTCCATTTTTGTTTCTTGATTTCATCAATGTTTTCTTCTCAAAATTCTTCAATTTTCTCTGAACAAGAAATGAAATAACTTTTCTGAAATCAAATTAAAATTTAATAACGAAAGATGAAAAGAGGGAATAGAAACTTACTAGTTGACAGAGGGATCTTGTTAGCAATGTTAGCAGCAGCCAAAGTTGTCCAATTAGTTTTGTGTGATACATTGAATTCAAATTACTCGACGATTTCGAATTGATGATTTGAAATCGTGAATCGTTTGTCCAATCATCTACAATGGAGGGTTTGAGATTCAGGATTTCGAATTGATAGAGAAGATGAAAATTTGATTTTTGAATTTTGTGAAGCTGTTACATATTGGAATGGAATGATATCAATCCGTCTGCGTGATTTGTGGGAAAAGAAAATCAGTTCTGCCCGATTTGTGGGAAGAAAATTAGTTATGCGTGATTTGTGGAAAGAAAATCAATTTTACATTAATATTCCATATTAAGCGCAACATACAAGTTTATGATGTATCATATATAATGTATCCGGATGTTTGATTTTTAAGGAATTTTTGTAAAATAAAAAAGAATAGGGATAAAATATAATTTAGGGTCTTATACTATGGGATTTAGGTAAGTTATAATAAACTTAATCTGAATTATTCATGTATTAGCTTTGCAGTGATCCCATAACCAAACGGCCACATAAAAATGAGCCCATCTAAACGAGCCGTGATATCTAAGCCCAATAAGAATAGATCACGGAGAAGTTGTTTACGATCTGTGAAATCACGTTTTTGTAACAGCGTTTCGTTGGAAAATTTAATTTTGCTCCGACGTTGAGCTCCGTCCGGTGGAATCTCCGATTATTTATCCTCTGTGATCACCGGTAAGCTCGTTTTCTCTCTTTCGCATTTTACTCCTTTTACATTTTTGTCACGAGAATTGAAATCCTTAGTTGTTATAAATTGGCACTTGAAATTGCGTTTAGTCCAAAATAGGGCAATACTCTGTCATTTTCCTTTAGTTGAACTGCTCTGATTATGAAATTTCTACAAATTCTATTTCTTCTAGCATTGACTCAATGTAGTCAGTCCCACAAAGTGGAGTCTGGGGAGATTGAGGTAGAGAGGTTTTAGGGAAAAAAACAATTGAAGGCAATCCAGAAAAAGTATAGCAAAGCATTCTGAACAGTTACTACGGCATAGTAATAAGATAATTGAATTACAAGAAACTACAACAACAATACTAGGACTACTGGTATGGACAGGTAACAAGACAATGCATGAACTCTCAGTGAATACGTCAAATAAAATTGGAGTGTTTAATGAGCATATATATAGTTGTGGATGAATTTCTTCTGTTTTGATGATCCACATTCAGATCCTTTTTTTTTCGAGGTTAGATGGTACAAATTAGACTCAACGAATCTCTGATAATGTGTTCTATCCGTTGAAACTTACATTAACATCAAGTGCGTAATACATAGCTAAAAATGGCAGTCCCTAGCAATCTGAATGGCGAGTATTACACATGAAAGAATTTACAAGTGAATGAAGGAAGAGAAATTAGAGTTTGAAAGTTTTATCCAAATATCCCTAGTCGTTAAGGATTGTTGAGAAAGGTCTTTTCTTTTTTACACTGTTGAGGCACTTATGGTTGTTAGCTTTTGGGAATTGGAAGGTAAAAGAAAAGGGACACATAGTTAAGTGCTAATAGTGTATTGGAATTGTTGTAACTCTACACAGAGAAAAGAATATGTGAAGGAGTTCGGGTATAGGGATTCAAAACAAAAAGGTAAAGGCTTTTGCTTGATCAAATCTACAAAGAGGGAGGATAGAGCAGAAAGAGCATAGATGGATGTGTATAGAAAGCAGCGGGTGCAGGCACACAACTCGAGTTAAATTCATTTGGAAATAGTATAGCATGACAAAGGGTGAAAAATAACCAAATATCACATGAATTTAGTGGTGAGTTAATGGATTCTAGACATATAGCTCCTGTTGTATACGTGATATTCTGTCCGTTACAACGCATAACTCTAGGTTATCCCCATTTGAATCCTTGTAATGCCTCGAGTTAGAGACTGCAGTGGTTGTGATAACTCACTAGTTAACAAAACAGTTGTTACACCATGTTTGCTACCAAGCAGTGTTATCAAAGGCACACTTGAGCCCTGAAGCAAGGCTCAAAACGTATTGAGCGCCTCGCCTCGCTTTATGTGCGCTTTAGTGTTGTCATCAAGGTTCTAATGCATATTTTTCCTTGCCAATGAGCGTCCTCGTCAGAGGTGACACTAAACAATTGATATTTCACTTTATCATAAAAAAATCAATTTCTTTGGTCATATAATTGTCATTCATGTTTATAATTATTAGTCTTGAACTAAACATATATATTTGTATTTTTTTCTCCCTTTGCGCCTTTTTTCATTAAAGCCCACGCTTCATTTGCACTTTGCGCTTAAAGCCCCAACAGACCTTAGAGCTTTTTTGTGCTTTTCGCCTTTGATAACACTGCTACCAAGTCAGTTACATTTCCACTTTGTGTAGTTTGCCTCCCAATGTGTAGAGACACTGAATTTCAGAAGCCATTAGGGGGTGTATAGGGGCTCGGCAGAGCACAATCTGTGTATTTTTATATGAATGTTGTGGAAGAAGTGAAGAAAGTCTTTGACATTTATTTTAATGCTCTTGCATAATTCATAGTGTCTTATGTTCAGTTTTTTCTCTTGGTCTCTTTTAATTTTCATTTTCTACAGATAGTTATGAACTTATGATTTTGAAATATATATACTTACCAACATGTTAAAAGGCACTGGGCTCTCATTAGGGCAATATTATCAAATCGCACCCGGGCTTTAAATTTTTTTATTCCTGTTGGCCTCTCACTGCAGACCCTGTTTGTTCGTATCTCTCTACTGACTGCTCCTTTTGTATCTCAATTTTTGGTTACCTAAGGAAAATCAATGTTAATTTGAGCTAATGTCTTATTATAGAGACTTACAAGTACACAAAATGTTTTACTGTGTGAAAGATATGGAGTAAAGGTGAAAATGACAAAATCAATGTTATGAGCTAAATATGTGTTGTAGTAAACCTTTACATCTTCAGAAAAAATATATCACTTCTGTAATTGATTTCTCCTAGAGAAGTATAATATTCTATTCAAAATTGTTCCATTTATAAGATTGTTCCCCTAACAATGAATATTTTTTTCTCCTAAAGTATCTTTTAAATATTCAAATAATATTTGATAATCCAAAATTGAAGTTCATAGGGCTTTTGCTTCTTCTTTTAGAGCTTATGCCCCACAAATGCAGAGATAAAATGCACTCCTTTTCTGTCTCAAATTTTAAGAAGGGAGGGAGAGAGGGTGCATTGAATTTGAAGCATGTTGTGATGGTTAGTCTGATAACTGTAAAATAGAAACTAGAAGCTCATGCAAATGTTTATGTCATAGCTACTAAGATAACATATATTGATATCTAGAAAATGCAAACCAAAAGCCTCTTACATTTACACATTTGGGCTATAAAACACACTTCTGCTCGCCTATACTTCCATTATCCCATCAACAATCCTGTTAGATATGAAACTAGTTGCTTTAACGTCAAAAGTCCAAGGTACATGTTGCATATTCTATGACTCGAAATACTGAGAGGATGTAATGTTCTTCGCTTTCTTCTTGTCTGTGCCATCTCTTCCTTTTCCTTTCCATCCATTGCATCCTTAGATTTCCTTCCTCTTCAGAAGCTAAATCTTTTGAGAAATCCATTACCCTCCTCAAATTTTACCAGTTGATCTTCATATGGGAGTTCATTAGATCTTCCCACTAGTTCTTTTGCCTTCAATGATGCTCCTTCCCAATCAGTACTATAAGTGACTATTAACATTGAGATTACACATGCCACTTGAGCTGCTAGAAGCCCATAACAAAGGCCCAAAAATCCTAGCTTCCAAACGAAGGCCAAAGTGATGGCCACTGGTGTTCCCATCAAATAGAACGAGTAAAAGTTAATACCTGCACCAACACCGGGCCTAGCACTCCCCCGAAGAACCCCACAACATGTTGTCTGTGGACAATTAGCTAGTTCACAAAGTCCAATAATGGGAAGAACGGTCGCTGTTAGCTCCAGAACTTCTCTATCTTTTGTAAAGACTCTTCCCCATGCTTCTCTCCCTAGGGTGGTCAGTATGAATCCAAATGTTGAAGTCAAAAAGGCCAGCCCTATGGCTATCCCTGTTGCCAAGCGGGCCTTAGCTGGCCGTCCCGCTCCAAGTTCATTCCCTACCCTGCTTGAGACTGAAGCACTTAGGGCCGAAGGTAATGTGTACATGAGGGATGTGGTTTGTATAACGATAGCAGATGCAGCAAGTGGAACTTCAGGTCTGTCAAGGTAGCCGGCTAGAACTGTCATGAATTCATACCACCACCACTCTAAGCAAACTGCTAAACAGCTAGGTATAGCAAGTTGAAGAAGCATTATCCATTGTTCTCCCACAGAAATGGAAGGAAGAAGTTTTACATTTTCTGCTAGGGGTTTTGATGGAGATCCGTTTTGGTCATAAGTAAAGAATATATAGCCTAAAAGGAAGAATAAGGTGACAAAGTTGGAGACAAAGGTTGAAATTGCAATTCCTTGGATCCCAAGACTCAGAGTAAAAGTCAGGTAAACTGTGATAGGGAAATGCAGCATTGTTGCAAGTGAAGTACACCATAATAGAGGCCATGTTGTACCTTTACACCGTAAGTAGATGCGTAAAGGGTGAAGAAAGCTGTTAGCAATAAGATCTGGGACAGCAAATCTGCAAAATACACTTGCTACATGTATTATTTGTGAGTCTTGGTGTAGCTTTAGCATGAGAGACTCAAAATTAAACCATAAAAAGGCAATAGGTATAGATGCAGTTAATAACATAAAGATTGTCCTTTGGAGGGCAAGAGACACTAAAGTTAAGTTTCTTGATCCAAAAGCCTGGCTAGAAAGTGGTTCCATCCCCAAGGCTAGGCCAGACAAGACTGAGTAACCAGTAATATTGGTGAAGCCAATGGCCAGTGCACCCCCTGCCAGCTCCAAGCTTCCCAGCCTTCCCATGCACACAACTAAAATCATGTTTTTCAAATAGGTTGCCAAGCCCATAGCAAGTATAGGAAAACCTCTGTCAATTATTTTCTTCAATTCCTCCTTGACCTAGAAATTATGGGGGGAAATTGTGCTTGTCAGGGTGATTAATACACATATTTCCTGTGATTACAAATGTTTTAAAAGGATTCTGTAGTTTGTACCTCTGGTAATGTCGGGTGCTTTTTGATCTGTTCTGCTGCCATCTTCTTTAAGCTTCTTCCTCTTATCTCTTGTTGCTTGTTTTGGAGTGTTATAGAGAGAGCTTAATTGTGTATAAATCCTTTTTCTGCATGCACTTCTGTATCCATGCACAAATACTACCCACTCACATGCACTTATGAAAGATATATAGAGAAGGAGAGATATATAGATAGAGAGAGCGAGAGAGGAAGAGAGGGAAGGAGATACTGAGAGACACTAACTTGAGTGTCCAGGAACAAGGATATTTATAGGGGCTGGAGGTGGTGGTGGATTTCTGAGTTACTGGTTGTTGAAAGTTTAGAACTGGAGTTGAGCTATGTAATGAAGCACGGTGAATATTATTTACATTGAGTAATAAGGTGTGCTCTCCTGGTCCAACTGTTGTGGCTACAGTTTGTCCTTTTTCCAAGTATGTAAGAACATATCCACTTCACAGCAAATGTAATGAAATATCCACTTCTCCTTCTTAAAGAACTATGCTTGAATATTACGTTACTGTCTATGTTGCTCGGACTCTTCAAAAATGCCACCAAGAGCGTGTCAAATCCTCCAAAAGTAGTGCATTTTTTGGAGGATCCGACATGGGTGTGGTAACATTTTTGGAGAGTCCGAGCAACCTAGGTTACTGATATATTCTGGCCTGAAAATGTTTTGGTATTGAACTGTAAATATGGTTCACGTGTGTTTTTGTTAATGACAGGTTCTTTCTTGTTATCCTTTTACCTTTCTGTTTTATGTATTATACCACTTTTGCACTGTATGTTGAACTACTCAAGGGGTTCAAACTTTACCTTGGGTTGGGGCCTTCCGTCATATGCATTCAAGGTCTGTATTTTCATTATTACTTTGGGAGGAAGCCACTAAGGAGACATTTTAATTGACTTCTCATAACCACTTAGGATCAATCTGAGTCAAATGATGGGAATTTTCTATTTGTAATGCATAGAAATAATTACTTTTCTATTTGTATAGGATATCTTATTTAAAGCAAATCTGAAGTGAACGGGGTATTATCATAGTATTCTGATTTTCTTATTGTGAGTTGCAACCTTTAGTACATTGGAGTACAAAGTGGCCTAACTATTATTGTTCCTTTTGATAATTAGAATTAGGTAATGCCTTTTCTCATGCTAATGATGGAATCTAAAACTATGTTAATGGTGGTGGTCCCATGATTGAGCCCTTCTCACATGCTAGTTGGTGTTTTTAGGTTAAGCAAAAACCTTCCAGCGATGTTTACATCTATGGTTATTCTCGTGTATCCAAAAGATTCCAAGGCCAAACTCCATTTTAAATTGTAGCACACCCTTTGTCTTGAAAAGTTAATACAACTGTCTTCTTTCAATTTTCATATCCTTATTTGTACATGCTTTCAATATCCCTCCCCACTTTGGTTTCCACATCTCCTATGTATAACTAAGTGTTAAAACCTACCTCCCCTTTGGTTAGTTAGTTATTTTTGGACTCTTGTTGTGTAAGGTTGTTTTCCTCTTACTCTTTAGTGTCTTTAGTTGGGGGTACATGTGCATACTTGCTTTTGTTATTGTACCTGTCTTATGCCTTCAATCCACTACAACTTTGCCCTGTACAAAGGTTACATGAGTGACATTTCACCTCTATCCTATACAAGTCTCAGCAATTAGTTAGGAACGTGCATTTGACTTGAGAAAAAGAACACAAGGTTTCCATCTTTCAGGTCACAAAGCTCACTGTTTCCTTTTCACTCAGGTTATTCTAGAAGAAACCCCCTTTGTCTCCATGTCTGAATGGTAATATTGACTAAAAGTAATTAAGTTATTTGAATTGAAGGTAATGTTAAGTGATTAAGTCATTTGAACTGAAGTAATGTTGTCACATTGTGATGAAACCATCCATGTGCAGTTTAGTTACACCTCTGGCAAATGACTACTTATCAATATTGAATTATTGCACTTTTCTTAATAGAGTCATCAAATTGCAGTTCAGGCACCTAGGGATGGCAATGGGGCGGGGTGGGTGCGGGGCAGGATGGGTTTGGCGTTATGCGTGTGCGGGGTGGGTTGAAATATGGTTTTGAAAAACTAATGTGGGGCAGGTTGTGGTTTTGTTGTCTTCTTTTATTTAATTTTACTATATCCCTGTCGTATTTACTCATTATTTTAATGTAATGCTTCCCCGCTAATAATTACTAAGTACTGTTGTGTTTTTTTTCTGTTAAAGCTCTAATTTTTATACCTTCTTGCTTTGTTTTTTCCCCTTTTTAGGCCTATAGTTGCTGTTGATATGAATATTTTGAAAACCCAGTTCATGAATTTTTGTGTTTGATCATTTTCTACGGGTACATCATACATGTCAATAATCTAAATTGAGCTTTGCATCATGCAGTTTAAGTTTCTAAAGTCTATTAGGTTGTAGCTAATTAATTAATTTCTGTTAGAATTTTTTTTCTTTATATCTCATGCTTCAATTAAACATGTTTTGATCACTGTAGTTGTTATAATAAATAATGATGTCAACTAACTAAAGTAGTTTGAATGAAAACATTTTTATATATGTAAAAAATCAATTGAATTATGCAGGGTGGGGCGGGTTGAAAACAACAAGATAGGTTTATGCGGGTTTGCCTCGCCCTGCCCCATTTACTACAGGCACCATCCCCCTCCTAATTTCACTAAGATAAGAAGAGATACTGTAATTCTTTTTGCATCATAATAACATTTCCAACAGGTACCGTCTTATACGGTGAGTTGTGGCATTTATGCTGCTAAAATGTTGCACATTTTGGTCCCTAAGTTTCAAGCATTGTATCATAGAAGTTAAAAAAACCGACAATGCTTTTTATATTCCCTTCCACACACAAATGGTAGATAAGATAAGAGCTTCCATTTGTCCCATGACGTGGAACAAGTTGAAAGAAACTTAACGTTTTGATAGGAGATGATGTTAAGCACTAACCACCAAATGGGGGTCTATGTTGCTTATGTCTGAAAGTTTAAACAACTAACTCTACTGTACAAACGTTTTGACATTCGACCAATGCTATTGTTCCTTGTCCCACACCTGCTTTAGTTTATTCTTTTCCCACTTTTGACCAGATAAAACAAAACTTGTTTATTGTTATCTAATCATAATTATTAACTAATAACCTATAGTTTGTGAACTAACTGTAGATAATTAAAGTCAAAATTAACAGCAAAAAAGAGATTTTGTGTATCTTAGTGTCATAATCCATCCTCTAGGACCCATTGAGCATGATATTTTCTTACTAGATATAGCACTAAGCTCCAGTCGATTTAGTCATGATCTCTCTTATTAGGGTTTGTAACCGCTAGTATGATTGTTATTTACAGCAAGCAGCATCTCTTTAGAATAGGAAAAATCTGTTAGTGGAAAGAATCTCTTATTACTAGATTGCCCACATCATTTGGTCTCTTCACATGATGATGATGAAGTTGTGAAAGGCAATATCGTTATCGTCAAGCTTAAAAAGATAAATAAATTGACCATCACCATTTTGTTCTTTCTCCTGTACCAGATTCTTGCACATGAAAGGAATATCCAAACGTCTTGTAAAATTGGACTACATCATGTTACCTAATCAAAAGGTTTGACTTAAATCGTTGAAACTTTTACATTGATAGTGGAAAAATTATTTTATATTATCACTGGTATCCTCAAAGTATTAGACTACTTTTTTGAACTATGAATTTCCCACTTCATGTTCCAATCAAATTTTGTTCTTCTTGTTGTGATGTAAACAAAAGCCTAAAAAAAACAACAGTATTTCTGGTGTAGTATCAAGTTGCTTTCCAATAATATAGCTAGATTCTCAAGACAGAGTGGCAACTAGGGCTTTACGCCAAAAAAATAATAAGAATGTGGAATCTTTACCAATTACGAAATCCAAAAGTTGGCAAAAGGGTATGTGAAGTTTTGCATTCAAATGCTACTTCGTGTTTCTCTCTGTTGCTTACAAACTCTGTTTTAAAAGGTTTTTTTTTTTGGGTCCGGCCCCTGGGAGGGGCACTAAACGCCCTAACACTCACATGTCCCTTGTGAGGCTTACACTCTAAGCGTCTGATTGTGTGTCCTAGACACGTGCTCGGGATTCCCTCAACAATTCCTATCAAAATCATGAGTCAAATTCCCTAGTTAGCATTGTTAATCCTCAAATTCTTTAACAAACGAATAATAGATGTTCAATTCATCAATAGAATATGAAGATGTGAATGACTCAAATAGTGAGTCAGTATTTCTTTCTTGCTAATTGAGCACATTGTGAGGATGAGTATCATTTGAACATCTTTCTAAATAGCTAGACAAGTCAAGTGTATCTCTTCAATTTTATTGATCTTCATGTCTTAGTTCTAAATCTCTCAAAATTATCACACTTCTATTATTTTGTAATCTGAAAGTAATTTTGTATTTATTCACGGAAGAGTTATGTTTTAAATTTCAACTGATAATGATTATTGATTATTTACTTTTAAAAAGGTAATATGTGTGGTGTGATAGTAATATCTTTTTTAAGAAATTGGGATTCTTTAAAATGTGTAGTTTTATAGCACACTCTCCATTTGAATTTGTTTATCCTATCGTCTTTTTTAGTCCGTTTAAAAAAAAATGTCTTTTTTTTTTTGACAATTTTTTAATTTTAATTTTTTACATTACATGTTGAAGGCTACAAGATTTGCATATCTTTAATTTAAGATCATGAGATTCAAAAGTATTTTTTTTTATTTTCTTAAACTTCGTATCAAGTCAAAAAAGGACAAATAAATTGAAACAGAGGGAGTAATACTTTACACTACTGCGATGTTTATACTTTTTAAAAAAATGTTAGATATTTTGTTTACTATTTGTATTTGATCAGATTTGTCCCTTCTTCCACTATTTGATTTTAAAATGCCCCTTAAAACACTAAAAATTGCTCAAAAATGTCCTTAAATAAAAAATCTAATCCAATAGGTGTAAAGAGGACATTTTTGAGTCATTTCTCGTACTGCATTTTCTGTGTGCTTCAAAGTTAAAACAGTGCTTACAAATAATCTACCTAATGACCTTTTAATTAGAAAAATAAAACTAAAATTATAGTTAGAGTGCAAGTTAAGTAAAGTTCTCTAACAGTGGCATCATTACCGTTGCTTACTTTTAATTGATTAGACATTATTCCAAAAAATGTTAAATGTACTTCATCTCCTTCAGTTTTGTACCCGTAGAAACGCATGTGCACTTGATAAACATGTTCCTTGGAGACTACAAGGTACTTTACTTGATGTAATGTAACCATGATCATTTTTAGACTCCTATTTCAATTTCCCATGTTATATTCAATGAAATGACACTGGGCTTCTTTTCATAGTGAAAAGAAGAAAAGAATTTTCTTATCTCATTTGATTAGGAAGTAATGGGAAAATTGTATGCATGGAGCTTCCACCACCCCACTCAGCGCAGAGATAGTGTATGATTAAGTTCTTAAATTATATTCAACTTGTTTATTTAGTATATATGGAAACCGCAAAGAGTTCGAAAGTATAATAGGTTTACTACATCAACTATGACTAAGGAGTCACTTGGTCTGAGGTATATAAGGTAAAATAATTTCAAGATAAAATGTAGGATTATTTTATCTTGCGTTTGGTTGGAAGTATTAGGTAGTTTTTAAATTATTTATTCCACCATTTATATTATAGTGATGAAATAAGTTATTCCATATACATTGTAGATACTAAAGACTACAAAATGGTAAAATGATGCCACAAATGTAGAGATGGCAATAGGGAAGAGTAAGGGGGGGGGGGGGGGAAAG